TTTAGGGCGTTTAGGGCGTTTAGGGCGTTTAGGGGTTTAGGGTTTAGGGTATAGGGTATAGGATTTAGGGTTTAGGGGTTTAGGAGTTTAGGGTTTCGGGTTTAGGGTTTAGGGCTCCATTCCTGGGAGGGCAGAGGCCAAGTGCAAGGATTCGGGTCAAGTAAAACATCTGCGGCTGCTGCTGTGACTACGACTGCGACGGCTGCTGCCACTACTACTACTATGGTAAGGTTTCGGTAAGGTAGGGTTGGGGCAGGGTAGGGCAGGGTTAGGGTAGGGTTGGGGAGTGAGGGCAGCGTTTTTGCCTTACTGCCACGACAGCTCCGATGACAACTACCAGCTGCTACGATTGCTGCTGTACTACAAGCACCTGCGGCGACGGCGACGACGATGCCGACCTACCACGACGACGACGACGACAACCACTTCAAACATGTAATAGTGACAGCCATGGCCGTGATAAAAGCATGGAACCATCATCAGCTTCACCATTAGCACCATAACAAAATGGCACAACTAACAAAAAACGAATGCCGTTACAAAGCCTCGCAGAAACCTGTTAAATCCCTACAGAAACCTAGAACTCCAACAACCCGGAAATCCTAACCCCTAAACAATATACAGAAACCTAGAACACCAACAATCCCGAAATCCTGACGCCTAAACTCCGCCCCTAAATCCTAAACCCCACATAAACAATCCTGAAGCCCCAACCCGAGCCAAGGCTCAGATTTAGCGCTCCTGGGATCCTTGACCACAAGCTTGGGAATGACGTCCTGGAGGTTTGGGAGGGCTTTTTAGGGGGTTCAAGGTTAAAGGTTCAGGGTTTAGGGTTTAGGGCTTCGGAATCAGAAGGTTCAGGGTTTAGGGTCCCCATAAGGGCTCTAAACAGGATCTATACGGGTTCAGGGTCCAGTGCTTAGGGCATCAAGGCTTCAGGGCTGCCGCGTTTTGGAGCTTTGGGGCTTTTTTCGCCTTCTAGGGTTTTAGATACACATTAGGTACTGCCCCCATACAGCAAGAGTCTATAATAGGGCTACTATGAAGGTCCTAATATATCTATATCTATATCTATATATGTATATATATCCATATTTATTTATTTATTATGTATACTACAATATATCTATATTTTTATTACTATTCAACTATTACTGAGTGGGGGCCGTACCCAAAATATACAGCTCGAGGATGACGTCCGGGCCCAGAGTCCCCTTTGTGGCTTTTCTTTGACATAGAGTTTAGGGTTTAGGGTTTAGGGTTTGGGGTTTAGGGGGTTAGGGTTTAGGGTTTAGGATTTAGGGTTTAGGGTTTAGGATTTAGGGTTTAGGGTTTAGGGTTTAGGGTTATAGGGCTGATGATACAAATCGAATATGCCATAATTCCCATAGTTTCGGGTCCTTAATTGAGGTAATGCAAGATTTTTATCATCAACCGTAGGGCTTTTGGAAAAAAGGCTTGGGTCAGGGATAGACAGCGGGCCCGAATACTCGGAATAGACTGTAGTAGAATGAAAGAAAGGCGCGAGGGTTGTAGCACCAGAGCAGCGATCGTCCCGGGACACGGAACAAGCTCCAAAGCTCGAAATCACGATTTACAAACATTAAAATTGCGTTGATGACCATACCAGCACGTGTTCAGCAAGACGAACAATCACAAGGCTCTGGCTTTGGTGTTGGCTTATGGGCGTGGGGTTCAGGGTTTGGGGTTAAGGGTGCAGGTTCCTACTCACATGAGAAGACGGCGGGTCCTTGACGAAGTTGGAGATGTCATGACCTTCGGGTGAGCGAGCCGCTTCCCGCCCCATCCAATGCACAAAACCCCAAAACCCTAAATGCCGTTCTGCTCCTGCAAACTCTGCTAGGAAATTTACACATTAAAATAGACATATATCCATGCATCCAATCATCCTTGAACAGATCTATCTATCGACCCATCTATCATTCTATTTATCTACCCATCCCTATCTACCTACCTGTCTAAACACCTATCTATCTATCCATCCATCTGTCTATCATCACCTATCTATCCATCCGTCCCGGCATCTATCTACCTACCCAAACTGGCTGTCTATCTATCTATCTATCTATACAGTACCTGCCCGGACATTTATCCATTTATCTACCAATCTATCTATGTATGTATCTATTATCTATGTGTCTATCCTTCTGCCCATCGACCCATCAATCAATCCATTTTTCTTTCTTCCTATCGAACTATCCATCTACTCATCTATATGTCTATCCGTCTGTCTACCTGTCTATCTATTCGTCTGTGTGTGTGTCTGTATGTATGAATGTATGAAAGCATGGAATTCATGGACGGACGGAGAGTGGATGGGTGGGTGGGGTTGGGCAGGGATGGAAGGAAGGAACGAAGGAAGGATGGAAACATGGAAGGATGCAAGGATGGATGTGTGCATGTATGCAGACATGTGCTCCAGTATTCTGATGCGAACACGCAAATGTATATATATATATGCATATATATATACACACACAACTGCGTGTTTTCATTCGGATAGCCCTTCAACATGCGAAGACTTGACTCCGAGACATTCAGTACCCGAAGGGCGGGCTCAATCTGTCGGAATCGCACAATCGAACAGAGAGTGTTGTGTAGGGTTTTCTGGTTTCGATGCTTGCGGTTGAATTCAGAGCTCCCTAAACCCTAAACCCTTAAACCCTAAACCCAAAATTTGGGATGTTTTGGACTCTGGGGCTTAGGGGGCTTACAGGACCCAGCCGGCTCGGAACTCTAGGGTGCTGGCAATATCGGGGCTTTAGGATATGGGTTTTGGGGCCCATTATACTGTAATTGCATTAAAGAACCCCCAAAAATAGTATGGGTAATTATTATATAGCATATAAAGCCCCTATAGTATGCTTTGAGGCTTTACTCCAAACCCAAACCCTAGAACCCTTAACCCTAAACCCCAAGGCCCTGAATCCTAACTAGAACCCTGGAATGGGTGTAGATGGCGGCCTTTTTGCCCATGACCGTCGAAGACGCCGTAGATCGAAAAGTTTTCTGTTTTGAGCATGCACCAGGAGTCCTGGACAGGGCGGTTTAGGAGTCCCGGTGGTGCCAAGAGAACAGCCTAGACAGAATCCTGAGCCCCGCGTTTCGGGTTTGGGGCTGTAACTGCGTGACGGCAGATCCTGTACAAGCCTTTCTGAAACTTTTCCAGCGTAATAGTGGTAACGATAAGAAAGCAGTCATACTTGCAACAGCAATGATACAGTAGTTCCAACGAGATTAAAACCTCAGACCCTCGACCCGATGCCATCATTTTCAGCTTACGTGACAAGGTTGGCTTTCGGCGTGGGATCGGAATCGGGAGATTCGAACACAGAACGTGCGAAATCGGAACTGAGGCCTGCCTTCGCCCACCCAGTACTGAAAGGATCAGGGGACTTAGTAGGGTTCTAAGTCGGGTAACTACAGTTATATCTACTTATAACCCTAATTCAGGTACTTATAACCCTACTTACTAAGTCCCATGATCCTCTAAGTGGCTAAGGATCTAAACTGCTAAGAACTCTAAACTGCACAACCCCAAAGACCTGTAGAAAGCCCCAGCAGAACTCCCAGCACCCTTAGGTTGCAGGGCTTTGGGCTGGGGGTTTGGGGTTTATTTTGGGTAGGGTTTATGGAAACCCTAAGAACCCCCAACCCTAACCCGAGATCTAAGCCCTAAAACATAAAAACTCCTGTAGCAATCCTGAAAACGATTCAAGGAGCCTCAAAAGCTGCCCTAAGCATGAATCCTGAACCCTAAGCCCTGAACCTTAAACCCTAAACCCTGCACCCTAAACCCTAAACCCTAAACCCTGAACCCTAAACCCTGAACCCTAAACCCTAAACCCTGAACCCTAAACCCTAAGCCCTAAACCCTCCTGGTTGGGACTCTCCGGCTTCAGCCCCTTCCGGCAAGTGTAGCCAATGCCATGCTTCGAGGCATTGAGCTCATCACCTGCCGAAGTTGAGGGTTTAGGGTTTAGGGCTTAGGGTTTAGGGTTTAGGGTTTAGGGCTTAGGGTTTAGGGGTTTAGGGCTTAGGGTTTAGGGTTTAAGTTACCATAATAGTTGGGATCTATAAGGGTTCCTTTTAAGGGATCCATCAGGGCTCCTTTAAGGGTTCAGGGCTCAGGGTTTAGGAGGCCTTTGCGACTTGTGGGAGCTTATGGGGGTTCTCTCAGTTTCACACCCTGCCCTCCTAAGCTCCACATAGATGCAACCTACATCTTTCGGGTCATGTTCCTGCTCATGCCAGGCACTGCAATCCACTGGCCCTCCAACACGAGTGAGCAATTTTCTCCATGAGCGGTTTCCCACTTGCACCTACATAAGATAATTGACAACACTCTCAGATCACAACCTCGACAGTCGGTGTTCTGTAGCCGTACAGAGTGTGCAATCAAGAGCATGACGTGTTCGATATGTTAACCACCACCGTTTGCAGGGGTATATATGGGGGTTTCCGAAAATAGGGGACCCCAATATAGTACCCTAAATAGTATGATCCTTATTATAAGGACCCCCAAATAAGGTACTCCTAATTTTCGGAAACTCCCGTATCATGCATCATCACGCGCACACAGCTGGACGGCTGTGGTAATCCCAGGTCAGCCCGGTCTTTCTGGCGATGCCACGCACACCTTCACATCTCAAGATTCGGTCCCAGAGACTCCAATATCCCTTAATTAAGGAATATACCTTAAAATATAATAGGATCCCTAATATGATTTAAGGAATCTTCCTTAGTTAAGGGATAATATTGGAGTCTCTGGGGTTGGAGACGCCTTCCAGGCGCACGCTCGGGCACAAAGCAGCATGGCTGAGGAACAGAATGGACGTTAGCCAACCATGAAAACCAAAGAGTGCACAACAAACGACGGTATGTTGCAATATCGATCAACATAGCAAATCAGCCAAAGCTTCTTAGGATCGGTTTAACCGAATCCCATGTCCATTCTAACCAGCATTACTTGCTCAGTTTCAGCAGCTGGCATTGAAGGGATCGCACTTAGCCTCCTGGTTGTTCCAGTACTGATGGTTGCAGTGACCCATGTTGCGCTCGGTGAAACAATTGCCTGGCTCCCACTCCTCATCAGCGTATCTTTCGCAGTAGCTACAGCCAGCAACGTCCTTTTCGGAAGAGCCTTGCGCCACTCCTTGGGCACATTTCTCTCCTTGCACCCAGTACTGATTCACACAGCAGGTACACTGAGCTTCACAGGAAGATCCACCACAAAGCGTGCGCACAGCTTCGTCTTCGGTCTCGTAAGTCTGGCCCCAACCACCACCACACCCCTGCAACGAGGTAATGGCCACGGCCACAAGTAGCGCTGCGCCGAAGATATGTTGCGGTGGAGACATGGCTGGAGTGCGTTGATGCAGGATGGAGGTTCTCGAGCTAAATTGAGGCAAGGCCGTGATACCTGGAACCCGCTGAAACTCTAAACAGCGGCTGACACCCCTGTTCGGATCTGCATAGCCCAAACTCTGAAACTGACCCTCAACCCAACGCCGAACCCCAACAAGACCTAAGGGTTTAGGGTTTAGGATCTACACCCTCCGGGAACAGAACGCCTCACAAACCACCACTCCGAGAAATTCATATGCCTTACCCAAACCGGACAGACCGGAAGGCCACCCCAAGGCTCTCTTACCCATAAAGGATCCCTAAAAGGATCCCATATAGGATCCCTTAGAGGAACCCATAAAGGATCCTTCAAAGGAGCCCATAAGGGATCCCGTAAAGGAGCCCTTAAAGGAGCCCACAAACGCCCCCCCAAATTTGCTAATCCCGAAGCCCTGCTGGCTGATCCATCCTTGGAAGGGCCTGGGCGCTAAGCCAATTAAAACCCGCGCCTAATACTAATCCATAAACCCTCAAACCCCTATACAAAAGAAAATTCTTCAAATTCCTAAATTTCCCCCAACACCCTACAAACCCTGAACCCCAAAAATCCTAGCAAACCCCCCACTGGAAACCCTACCAAAACCCCCATCCGGGGCCTAATTGCTGCATGGATTTGTTGGCGAAGGATGTGGCATTCTGGTCCGTGGTCGAGCCCAAGGAAGAGAGGCGCCTACCTGAGCCTCCCGTTCGGAAACAGAAAGCGCTTTTTTTAGGGTGCTAGGGTGTACTGGGAGGATCATGGGACTTAGTAAGAAAGGTTAGAAGTACCTTAATTGGGGTTATATAGCTACCTTGCTTATGTCCCTACTCATTAAGTCCCGTGATCCTAAACCCTAAACCCTTATAGTACCCCTACAGATCCCTTTAAAGAGCACGATAGATCCCCTTAAGTCCTGTGATCCTCAAAGTAGGGATTTAGGCCTCGGAGGAAGAGAGGCCTCTCTTCAATTTTTAGGGCTCCTTCACGGGCTCTTTATAAGAGTTCCTTCTTACGCCTTGCCATGAGCGGGTTGTGTAGGGAGGCTTCCTCTTGGGGCTTCAGGGCTCCCTGTTGGTATAGGCCTCTTGTGGGGTTCTATGCCGTCGTTATGATGGTTCTTTGATGTCCTAAGGTTTTGACACGGGTTTCGGGGTCAAGGTTCGTCGGAGGTCCAGAGGTTCAAAGATTCAGAGTTTCGAGTTCACAGCGGGTGGCACTGCTTGGGGGATTTAGGCTGCAGGGCTTGACAAGGCTTCGTTTGAGGTCTTGGGTTTGGGTTTAGTGTTTGGGAACAGCCGACAAAAAATCTTGAAGACTGGAAGAGGAGGCTTAATAGAACCCTTTAAAGGAACCCTAAGCCTATAAGATCCCTTTAAAGGAACCCTATAACCCTATAAGATCCCTTTAAAGGAACTCTAGAACCCTATAAGATCCCTGTAAAGGAACCCTGAGGCATGGGCCGCAGCGTGGGGGCTCTCAAGCTCTATGCTTGGAGTTGGGGTGCCCAGACACTCCAATATCCCCTGATTAACAAATATTCCTTAAATCATATCACGCCTCCTACCACAGTTTAATGTATCCTCCTTAACTAAGGGATATTGGAGTCTCTGGGTGTAGCGCTTGGGTTCACGGACGTCGAGCGGGATCAAGGGTCGAAACACCCAAATTCAGGGCCATGGCTCGGTTTCCCTCAAGAAAGGAACCCGGGTTTAGGGTTTAGGGTTTAGGGTTTAGGGTTTAGGATCACAGTACGACAAGTTAATAAGTCGACTTGTGCGAAACTGCCACGAAACTGCAAGGTGATTGCTTGGAGACGAACAAAAATCTGAAGCTTAAGCCATCCCAAACTCGATATGGAATGTGCATAAATCCCCACCCAAATTCCCAACCCTAAACCCTAAACCCTCAACAATCGCCCCAAACCCCGTAAGATCGAACTGAGGGGAATGGCGAAGAAGCGTAAATCTCGCAACCTCCCCGCCCACCCACGCGCCTGTCTTGGTACCATCCTTCTCCATCAAGTCAAGGAGGTTCTGCTGCGAGAATTGAGCGATGAGACCACGGTCATCTTCCGTGGAGTGGTCCTGTGTACGGTTTCGGGTTGAGGCTTGACCTAAACCTTTCGAAGGATTCAGTTTCGATGTCACTCTGAACTAATTACGGCAACTCCAAAAAATCCTTAACACTAAACCCTTTAAAAACAAAAAAACCAAAACCCATCCAAAAAACAACTCAAAACCCTAAACCCCGAAATACCTGAACCGTCAAGTCTAGGCTTGATCTGGCGCTTGAAATCCAAGGCTTCAGCTACAGGCTTCCAAGCCGCCTGCGTTTGGAGTTTGGACGCAGTAGCAGCTAAAGGCCCATGAACGGTTTAAGGTTGAAGGCTTCGGGGGTTTAGGGTTTAGGGTTTAGGGTTTTGGGTTTAGGGTTGAGGGTGTAGGGTTTAAGGTTTAGGGTGTAGGATTAATAGTGTAGTACACTCATGGTACCCTCATGGTACCCTGAAAGGGAGCCTTTCGAGAGACCCTCAACCCAAACCCAAACTAGAGCCTCAAGCGGCCCCGTTGCGAACCATCGGCGCGAGAAGGCCTTGCCATCCCATAAGATGATATAACACAATATGATATAACAGAAGATACTGTAATCTAATTTAGCATAGCGTGACATGACACTATATACCAGAATACAGAGGGGCCCTTTAAAAAGGAAATCGAAACTGCGAGGGTTTCAAGGCCCTTGTGGGAGCCCTGAAAGAAGTTCTATAAACCCTTGTAGGAGCCCTTAAAAGAACCCCAGGATCCCCTGAATTACCCGTGATGTTTCCCTTAAGGGACCCTGAAAGTAACCCTTCATAACTCCCCGTAAAGGAACCCTAAACCCTAAACCCTAAATCCTAAACTTTAAACCCTAAGAACTCTTAAAGAAACCCTGAGCCCTAAATCCTGAACCCCAAACTCTAAACTCTAAGAGCCCTTAAAGGAACCCTAAACCCTAAATCCTAAACTTTAAACCCTAAGAGCCCTTAAAGGAACCCTAAAAGGAACCCTTAAAGGAACCCCAAAAGGAACCCCAAACTCTAAACCCTAAGAGCCTTTAAAGGAACCCTGAGAGCCCTTAAAGGAACCCTAAAAGGAACCCCAAAAGGAACCCTACTCCCAGCTACGTCCTCGGCTTCTTCGACCTCGCGAAGGTCCACGTTCCCCACACTCAACCTGGGGAGCTCCGCAGTTAGGATTTAGGGTTTAGGGTCTTAAATTTAGGGTTTAGGGTTAAGGGTTTTTTAATTTAGGGTTTAGGGCATAGAGTGTAACATTTAGGGTTTAGGGTTTCTTTTTTTTGGTTCAGGGTTTAACATTTAGGGTTGGGGGAGCTCTGCAGTTCACGATTCGTTTAGGGCTTGGGGGTAAAAGCCTTAGGGCTTAGGGTTGGGGTTTAGGGCGTAGGGGAGACTATCATAATACTGTAACACTATGATACTATAACGCCAAAAATAGACGTTCTTTGTTGCTGTGAGCTCCTGGTTCGTTACGCTGAAAGTTTATGGAAAGTTTAGGGCTTAGGGGGTCAAGGGTGAGGGTTCAGGGCCAGGGGTTGTGCTCTAGGAGTGTGAGGGAAACTGAGGTCTTACTATAGTGAAGTCCAGAAAGTTGGAACATAGATTTAGGATGATTGGTTCTCAGTGCTTGTGGAGGTTCTCTTTGAACAACATGCAGAGGTTCACCGCGAAGGATTTGAAGGTCACTTGAAGGTGCACTGGAGTTTTGGGGTTCGGGTTTTCCAGCTTCTGATTCGGGGTGTGTCGCATAATGCAGTAGCAGTAGATCTATGTTCTGTACTATACTGAACTTAGAACCCTAGCAAAAATTATAATGTGAGCTGTTTCTTAGGGATTATAATAACCCAAAATTAACAATTATTTCTAAGTACCCCTAAGCCTGCTTGACGTCTACATTCTACATGGAGTCTCAGCGTGGTCCCGCCTTCGGCGCTGCTTCACAACCTTCTGTTCGGGCTTGGCAGCCGCGGACGTGGCACAGCCCATGGCGCTGTCAGAGTCTCAAACCTACACCCGGCGAACCGCGAAGCACCAAGAACACGACCCCTACAAAGGACCACGAGGCTTTAGCCACTGATCTCTGCACTGCATGGAACTGATCAACATGACCGGGGGGTCAACAAAGACTGGTGGAGCCCGAGCAGCATCGCGTGTCAGTGCATCTTGAGGATTGAACCCTGTCTCTCGCCATGACGGCGAAGTAATTTCAAGCGCCGCCTGGTGCAGTGCACAGCATTGCACAGCGATGCATGCTTTGTCCGAAGCCTCAAGCACTTTTTGCCATGACTCCCGGGGAGGTGGGGATTTGAAGTTAAGTACATGTCCGTACCCCACCACTCTCCCAGATGCCAGCCTGAAAGAAACTCAACACTGTGATATATTGCTTGATAAGCGTGCCGATTCTCGGCAAAGGCGCTCATGGGCTGAATAGCTCTGACAATCATTACTATAGGGACCTTAATAATTAGAATAGGGTTTTGGGGCCCTATATACTATGATTATTATAAGGAGCCCCCAAAAAAGTATTGGTCATTATTAAGGCCCCTGTAGTACTTGTGCAAAAAGCAGGGAGGCACGGGAATCTGTGAAGCAAGATCTGCTCCAGCCCGACATGCCGAAAAGATGTATTTCTTAAATCCCAGGCCGGTGGGATCCCGGATCAATCGAAGGGGAACGTGTCTCAAAGCTTCAGAAGCTGCAGCCGGACGGGCAATGGCTCGGCAAAACATCGGTGAAGTCACTGCAACCACAGGTCTGTGGACAGATGGTGGCCAAAGGCTTGAACAAGTCTGACATCCCTTCACACCACGTAGCGCCGGTCACGAAGTCCTGGGGCTCTACATGCAAATAGGCACAACCTTGCGACAACATGCCCTGGAGTGTCGCATTCACGGTGTACCAAAGCGATGTCTGTGTCACCTCATCTCCGTAGTATCCAGACACCGCCTCTTCATACAAGTTCCAGAACTCCTCCCAATGCCTCTCCGTCTCGTTATCCTCACAGCTCACGTTGGCAAGCTGGGCCTCGGCCTCCTGGAGGCATGCGGTACTGCAGCCCTGTGCGGTCACCTTGTGCCATGGAGAGGCCACGGGATCCACGCAGCCACACGTCTCACCACAGACCAAGCGGAGCAAGGCAGCATCAGATCTGTTACACATGTGGGAAAGCTCGGCGCAACTTGATGCCATCTCGTAGCCGAGGGCTAGGCCGGCATTTCTCAGAAGGATCTCTGCCACGGGCTGCATCTCAGCATCACCGTTCAGCAGAGTGCCCGCTTTCAGCAGCTGGGTCTCAATGCAGAAAGGGTACACTGCTGCCTGTTCGCTCATGTCCCGCTGACGGTCCGTGTCGAAGGCCGCCCTGCTGCCTGAAAAAAGGATGTAGTCTGGCACTTCGCCCGGAGTCGTCTCAGGTGAGATGCCCAGGTGCTTCTTGACCGCAAGTTCGCTGACTGAGAGCTGACCATCATCCCGCGCGCCAGCGTTTGCAGTGGCGAAGCCATGTGTCACCTGCGTGTTGCGGTTGTACGAGACGACGAATGACTGATTACCACCACAAAGCTCCTTCTTGACGGCCACCATCGACTCAGTCAGGGGTCCTACTAAGAGGAAGTAGGCCAGCAGCACCGCCCCTGAGACGAAGGCAAAATGTGCCAGTGTCTCGCATTGGCTGCGTTTGCGGCTGTACTTGACCTGCATCGGCTCCAAAGATTGCATGACGTGCTGGATTTTGATTGGAGTCAGGCACGCGAAGAGGAACTCGTCGACATCCAGGATGGCATTGAGAGCAACGGCATTGAGCATGAGCTCTTGAATGGACGTGGTGCGGGCAAGCCACAAGATGCCAGCTACCAAGAGGACTGCGGCGATGGTGGCACGGGCTGCGTAGGTCAGCAATAGGAGGCTGTAGCGACCATAAGAAATGTTCTGAAACGTGTAGTTCTCGAAGGCTGTCCTCCTGGCCTTCGGGATCTGCATCGTGGCTTCCAGAGACAGCCAAACAGAACGGAGTTCCTGCGGGCGGACTGCGGGATGCTAGAAGGGACGGGAAGCATAAACAGCAGGAATGACGGGCAAAGGTTTGAGGGTTGTTTAGGGTTTAGGGTTTAGCATCCAGCACTTAGGATTGAGGACTAGACACACCCTTTCCCCCGTCCTTGTAGACACATAACGTCCACAACAATATGCAAAGGACGCATAGCAAAACACCTGGTTGGAAGGGCTGCGGCAGGAGCTCTGCTTTGCGTATGCCTAAGAAGGCATTGATCTGCTTCACGAGGTCTGCCTGCCAAGGACGGTGGGCAAGGTCAGCAAACTTTTCGAGAGCCTAGAAGACAAAAAGCACTGTAATTGTTGCGGAAGGGCTACTCTATCACAGTCATAATAATAAGAATCATAACTCCACCGCGCCTGCCGGTTGGACAAGATCAAAGCTCCGTCCAGAGCACAAACTCGAGACACCAAACTCGTACCTGCACCGCATGCCCGCAGGGCCACCGAACAGTCTAAACTTCTAAACGCTCAAGACCCGCAGAAGCACACTTGACGACTTGTACCTTAAACCCTAAACCGTAAACCCTAAACCTAGTACTCGGCTCTCCAAAAACTGTTTTAGCAGAGGCTCCTCGACGCCAAACCTTGAACTTGGACCCAGCTATCCATCCCAGTCCCCTGAATCCCAAAGCATGCTTGAGGCTTCCTTAAACTGTCTCCGTATACATGTCATCAGCCCTCTTTACAGGATCCAGAAACAGATATCGACAAAGCCTCCTACCATTATTTGGGTTAGGACTGTTAAGATAAGTTCTGGATATTTTACACGGTTTGGGCAAACACTCCACGCCTGACAAGTCGACGTAAGAGTCGTCGTGGGCCATGCTCCTGGCTGGACGGCCCACCCCAATCTCGGGATAGGGTTTAGAGTTCTTCTTTTTTTGAACCCTCTTTTCCGTCTGCCCCGAAGGTTAGGTGGAACACCAGAGGGTTTAGAGTTCATGGTTTAAGGTTGGGGAACTGTCAATTCGTATTCTTCAGCTTTCGCGGGTGTCCCGTAAGGTTAATGCAACCCCCAAACATGTAAGCCCTACACACCCTAAGAACCCTGAAGGCTACAGAAAATTCCTACATCCATGTAGATCCTTGTAGAAACATCATAGATCTCTTCTGGCGCCCTTACAGGAGCACTAAGGAACCTCGAAAGGAACAACCAGGAGGACTAGGCCCACGAGGGCGGCTGTGACGCTATCGTGTCCCGGTCTCCTTCGCCATATTCTGGCGCTGTCCACATTCTCGTCGAACGTCTCTCCCATGAAAGGCTCGGAAAGGAGAATGGCTGAAAATGCAATCTGCATGCCAAGGTTCACTGCGATGAGGAGCGAGGCTGCCAAGGCATCCACCCAGCCCACATCGGCCAAGCCAATCACGAGTGGAATGTTCCACGCACTCGCTTCGAAATGCACAGGAGTAGTTTTTTTCTTTTTCTTTTGGTTAGGCTTCTTCACCTGTGGGTCTGCATCCGCAAGGATATCCTTAGATTGAAACGCATGCTCCGTCTGCGAAACCGCTGCTTGGGAACAATCCGGCTTTGTCTCATGAGCACTGTCCGGTAGCTCAAGGACATCATCCTCATCTGGAGGTTCGCTGGAGAACTGCTCTTCAAGGAGTTCCACACGCCGGCTCAGGCGTCGGATTTCCGCAAGGAGTTTTTGGGGATCCACCTCTGCGCAGTTCGCTGTCGGCACGTCGATGGCCACACTCTTCATCAAGTTAGGGGAAACCTCCTGGTTCGAGTTCTCCATGACCAGGAACGAGTTGGAAGGTGTCGGCATGCCGACCGGAGCGCAATGACTACTCAGTGATGGACGAAATGCACGTTTGATGCCTGCACTGGGGTCATGCTTGTGGACAAGATGTCGCGTAACAATATGGCATGTCGTGTCACTTGCTGAACTGACAGGAGCCCACAAACAAATACGAGACAAACGTAACACAACTGTTTTTCATGCACTCCTGTGGCGTGCAGCATCTGTAACAACACGATTCAGCGAGTTTGCAGGGACGCTCGCATGAAGAACGAACGATATGAACAATGTATGGTGTTGATGGTGGTGATGGTGATGTTGATGATGTTGATTATGATGCTGATGATGGTGATGGCGAAAATGGCTATGATGGCGGCGATGATGATGATGATGATGATGGTGATCCTAATCCCGGAACCTGCAACCCTAAAGGATTGGGGTCGGGCTGATGGTGACGGTACGGGCGATGCTGACGAGAGACTGACCTGACCGTCATGATGACGACCTGAATGACGATTTTCATAATGATGTTGGCGGTGGCGGCTATGGTAGCGGGCACTCGTGGAAGCGCATGCTTGACTGATGTGCATGTTAGAAAATAGTTTAGCCATTGCTCGAGCAACAAAGCATAAGGTTGAGCTCCAGCCAAACAAATTGAGGTAAGTCTGGCACCACGCAACAACATAAGGCTACTGTTTGCGATTGCGTATTAAGCAAAGCAAAGCGGTTAAAAAACTACTGCAGACACTGCAACAGAAAGAAAGTGCATGCACTCTCGCTCACTTTGTTTCGGCTTGCCGGAAAAGCGACTGCAGCTCCGGTGGGAAAAAATTTCTAACAAAGCTCAAGATGTTGTTGCATGGTGTGCCTGCTTGACCTGAAGCGGTGCGACGGGCAAGCACTTGCCGGAACCACACTGCGTAAACAGGCGCCGTTCAAGTGGGTCTTACTACTGTTAGCGTACTAAGTTACTAAGCACACCAAACCGGTTATGAAGGCTACAGCATACAGCTCAACAGACATGAAGGTGCATTCATTCTCGCTCACTTTTGTTTCGGCTTGCTGGAAAAGCGCCTGCAGCGAAGGTTTGACATGAATCCATTTGACTTTTGGTCGAAACGGTTCCTGAAAGTAAAGCCGCTGTACAGGGCGCATAAAGCCGGGCATAACAGTGGCGCGAAATTTTCATGGGAAACACCCCCACCTCCGTCCGCTGGAACCCTTGAAAAACGCCATGCTTTCCAATCTCCTTTTTTTGGCGTGAACAGGCCTCGTCGTCGGCGGCTGCCGCACTCGGTCCTAACAAGAGTTTAAAAGGATAAAAAGCTAAACAATGAAGCTGTGCAATCAAAAAGGCTGTGAACCAGAAGCTGCGACGTGCAGACTAAGCCGGCATACCAACTAATGCCAGCAAGCCCTACTCTCCTGGGGCTGTTGCACGGTTCATTACTCTTACGTGGCCCAGGGTGCCTGTCAGTGCGCCGGGCTGACTCTGGCATATAGGCACAACGGCGCGAGCATGGACCGGGCCTGGCGTGCTTGCGGGCGTGTTCACGCTTATGGGCCATTGTGCAACTCGGTTGCGGGGCCATGTTGCGGCCATTGCGCTTCTCCACCTTTTCGGAAAGCAGGGCCTCGTGAGTGAGGCTTAGCTTAGCCACATGCGGCCATTGCGCAACTTGTTGCAGGGCCTGAGCGGGGCAATCTGTATAGTAGAGCTGAACGACCTGGGTGCACTGCCTGGGTCAGCCATAGCACAAGCGAGACTGTCAAACGCACATTCCACACAACCGATCTAAACTGCGCTTCAAATCTAGGCCAAGCCTCCCTGCAACGCACACCAAAGAAGCGTCGAACCAAGCCCGAATCACGACCGGTAGAGATGCAGCATAGTCTACTGACCCAATAAGCAGGAAGGAAAACTGCCCAAGACTGACGCAGGCCATGAGCCAAAGAGCGGCAGTTGGGCCGAGCCAAGCAGCAGATGCCAAAAATGCAAGCCAACACAAAGGCCCCTATGCACATCATAGCAGCTCGTAGCTACTCATCCGCCGGCAGAATGCACATTAACGGAAAGATCCGGGAGACGCCTGCAAGCAGAAGGGGCTTCAACGACGGATGTCCGGAGCTGCCAGCACACCGAAGCCGTCATGTGCAACCATCCGGCCTTGCGGAGTTCCTCGAGGTAGCTGGCAAAGTCTTGTTGCATACATCATGGGGGTCTTGCGGGACGAATGCATTCATTTGCTCGTACAATTTGCGCGTAGGTGGGCCGTTGGTGTGCAAACATACCAAAGGTAGTGAGGATATTTCGCTAGGCACCAAGGTAGTTGATGGAACGGTCGGGGCGGCCCACGAGGGGCGACGTGGAAAGCATCTTCCGCTCTCGTAATCCGTCCCGGCTTCCGACTCAAGATTCCCTGGACTGAGGCACGGCGCTCGAGCATCCCGCCACATGCTGTCCGCTTCTCCAATCAGAAAGGCTCACGACATAATCTAAACGGCAGTCTCCTTGTCAGCCATGGAAAAGGGGATGTGTTGTTCTTAGGTCGCGCTTGTATGTTTCTACTTTGTGTGCTCTTGTGGTATCCATGTTCCACGTGCTTGAGCACTCAGGGAACGAATGCTTCCAGTTGCATGCAACGCGTTGCAGCATGACGGTGTCGATTCAATCCTTTTCACACAGTGTGGTAAACAGTACCGAACACGGAAGATCCGATCTCAAGCCGTCCTGTGAGACATGAGACACAAGACTCTTTTGTCCCCACTGAAAACGGAGTCGCAGCCTCACGCAGCTACAGTCGAGGCTCTTCCTACAATTGATAAGACGATCTTTGTAGCTGGACGGACTCATCCTTGAAACCTAGTTTCCATCACGCAGCTACAGTCGAGGCTCTTCCTACAATTGATAAGACGATCTTTGTAGCTGGACGGACTCATCCTTGAAACCTAGTTTCCAGACCAGGTCAAGCTTCATCCTCGATGGCTTGGCTCATCAGCCAAGTTCGCAGGTGATGCAACTCTTGCGTACCACGGCAAAATGCCATGTACATATTCCAAGAAGTTGATTTCATCAATGAGAATCCCTGCAACTCCTGTCTTAGCAGATTCCGCAATGTAGGCATGCCGTGCAGCGTCGTTATGAATGTTGCACTTCTTTTCTCAGAGCAATTGAGGGCTTCGGTATGCAATGCTTTCATATGCGGAACATCCGAACGCAGGTGATGCACTTCTGTCTTGCACCCCGCCTCGGCTAGGTCTTTACATTTAAACGCCTAGCCGTCCAAGACACCTGCATTTCAACGGTTTCCAACACAAAACTGGCATGCCTCAAACACACGTACACTGTTACTGTTACGCAGGGCATGGCAACCAGGCACATGATACACTCGCCCACGATTGGTGGACACTGCAATTCGGCCTGCACCTTGCGCTCGATCTGGTCAGCTTGGCTTGCAGACGACGATTCTCCTCTAACTTCAACCAGGGCTTCCTCGCACTGGAGCACTGTTCTGTGCTCTTCTGAGAGAGACGTGGCCCTGTCAACATACTCGTCTACAAACTTCTGCTCTTCTTTGCTCATGCCCCGGTTGGCTTGCACAACGACCTCACACGTTGTCGCGGCGGCTTGCTTGTCAGCGCTGCTCCATCCGAGCAACCACTTCAGGCCGCAAAATGCAGCCCATGGCCCGCCACACACCACCAAAACTGTTGCAACCAAAATGGCTACTGCTGAAATCATCTGCGCCATTGTGTCCTCGGCAAACCCGGCTGCCGCAACCAAGCTCAAGCCTTCATAACCCTCTGCGTCATGGCCTGCGCGAGGATCAACAAAACAGGCAAAAACTTTCTTGCTCCCTTCGATGACAACCCACTGCTCTTCACGATGCGGTTCACGTCGTCTCGCTGATCTGCGAGACTTCTGCAGCATATCGCTCACGACTCTCACAGCCCTGAAGAGCAGTTCGCGAAGCTTGGGTGCTTTGGTTTTTTTTGTCTTTTTTTTTGGCGTGGGCGGGCCTCAAAGACAGCAGTTGCTGCACTCGGTCCCAATAAGAACTACAAGAAAACAATAAAGAGCTGCACAAGAAGAATCGGGTGAAGGTGAAAACGGCCGCGACTTGCAGACTTAGCCAGCAGGGATCGTTCGGCCTAAAATGTGTGAAGCCCATCTTCACTCAGGTGTCTCGCGTCCCAATAACTGAGCCGCGTAAAAGCACACGTGAACATCTAGCCAATTGGGCAGCAAAGGACGGCCTCAAATGGTCCGGTGTACTCGGCACGAACCCGGAGGGGGCACGCGATGGCAAGAGTGGCCATGACGGAGCATACAGTGTACAAGCATCCATAAAGCAACATGTCCCAGTGGCAAATGCGTTAGAAAATTAAATGGCCCAGCTTCCCAACATGGTGGGTCTCGCAAGGGCAGATGCACAATTCACACCAGGGAGCATGCCGCTGCATTGTACCCGCCGCGCAGAGCCATCGGCTGTGTGCTAGCACCGGAACATAGGCAGAAAATCCTTTGGGGCCCGCGACGGAGTTTCCCAACGAGAGCAAGCACGCCAGAAAGGTGAGGCACTGGGTTGGTGTCGCCCACGAAGCTTGGGTCCTGTGGCTTCGTTCCAAGATCAAAGGGGTTCCTCTTTCCAGAGATATGACCAATCTTCAGGACTTGGAACTTCACGGCTGCTTGTACCCAAAGGTTGGCACAAGCAAGGCGTCGGATGCGTCCGCATCCGACTCGCTGGCTCACTCCTCTTGCCGCCGCTTAGTCGGACCTCAGCACTGCCTCCAACTCGGTTGTGCTACGCAGCAGGTGCTCAAAGCAGATGCGTCGCTGATCATGGCCAGGAATTCAGATTCCCCCGAGCTCATTGCCACTGTCCTTTGGCTGCGGACGGATCCTGCAAGCTAGAGGTGAACTGAGGATCAGCTGCGGCGTGTCTGCCGACAGCCCG